TTTTTTTTTAACGTTTTTATGTTATTGAAAAAAAAAATATATTTGCTGTGTGAAAATCTTGTGAAATTCACATTTCAGTATCCGTCAATAAAATTCCATTGAAACATTGCCATGTTCATTCATTTATATATTGTCTGTGGCTGCTTTTGACCCTCAGCGGCAGAGTTGACTAGACAGAGGCTTCGTGGCCTGCAAAGCTTTAAATATTTACTATCTGGACCTTTACAGAAAAAGTTTGCCAACCCCTGGCATGTAGAGTCCGTGCTGTTTACTTACAGGTTACAACAGTTCTTAGAACGCTTCTGTGACTGGGTGTCGTCTTTTAACTATTTGCCTTTATGACTTTTGATAGGCTTACTCTGGGTACCATGATATCATTTCATTCATGTATTTTTCATTAATAATTAAATTACATTCCTGCTTTCATTCTGATTTCGATTCTTAGATGAAAATGTGCTTCTTCATTTGATTATATTGTTTAATCTTTGTTTCCCTCTCCTGTTATTCATTACTTAATACTTCCCTTGAATTATTTAGTCTTTTTCTAAGGTGCTTTAAAATGATTTGTATGAAACTCAACATAAAATAAAATTGTCCTGCTTTCAATGACCAAAAAAAAAAAGGACATAAAAATGTTCAGGCCACACATGATGGCTCACACCTGTAATCTCAGCACTTTGAGAAGCCGAGGCAGGTGGATCACCTGAGGTCAGGAGTTTGAAGCCAGCCTGGCCAACATGGTGAAACCTCATCTCTACTAAAAATACACAAAATTGGCCAGGCATGGTGGCGGGCACCTGTAATCCCAGCTACTCGGGAGGCTGAGGCAGGAGAATCACTTGAACCTGAGAGGCGGAGGTTGCAGTGAGCTGAGATTGTGCCATTGCACTCCAGCCTGGGCAACAAGAGCGAAACTCCATCTTAAAATAATAATAATAATAATAAATATAAATAAAAAGTTCAGTAGAAACTTCTTGGGAAACTTTATATATCTCTAGTAGAGTTAAAAGGTTTTGCAGAAGATAAACGTTAAAAAATTATTTATTTGGAGTGAATATTTGGTGAGTTTTTATAACTTTAATTGCATCAAACAGTGAATGCTGTGAGAGTCAATAAATCTTATAACAGAAGAAAATCAGTCTCTTTAAATAAAAAATCCATAAATTTATTGCAAATCTAGAAGTACCAGAATGTCACGAATACAGAACAAATCAGCAATCTTGTTTGTATTTTCTTCCAAACATTTAAAACCTTGATTATTGACATATTGAAATTGGCATACATTTTGCTTTCATGCAGATAACAGAATAGACATGGAGCAGATCCCTCAGAAATCAGTTATAAATATTAAATTGTATTGAACATTCATAGTAAAAAATATGTTGTAAAGTGCTGAAGTCATGTTAAGTCTGCAAAACTGCCACAAGCTCAAAGTTCTTCTCAAGCAGTGACAGAGATTTGCTACATCCACCTTGTTTTAGGTATGTCTGTTTTTGACAGACACTTTGTCATTTCCTCCCCCACCCTCCCCGAAGTTTTATAGATTGTCCTATTTCTATGGCTGATAAGATGCTCTACAGATTGTAGCAGGTGGTGATGAACTATGCCACTTTCATTTCAGTGCAGAGAAATATTCAAGCTTGTGTGTACCTGTAACCAAACTAGGCTTGTTATGGTTTTCCCCCTGAGTTGTCATAAATTGACATTAACGATGAATAAAGATGGAGCAGCAAGCATTGACCATCACCTGCAGGGTGAGATTGTGGTAAAATAGGTGAGTAAAAAGTCCACCTATTATCCTGACGCTTGCCCTCTTTACAGAAAACTGCTAACGTGAGCAATACTATACATGTAGTGTAACTCCAAAAGAAAAAAAAAGAAAGAATAACAAACAAAAAACAAAACAAAAAATGACCAGCTACCCGATACCTCTGGCAACTTAGAGCAATCAAGTTATAGAAGATGTAAATTGCAACTTGTAACTCACTATAACGTAATTGTCTCTGTTACCCCCATGTGAAATACAGAAATCCTTCAACAATTAGATGGTTTTTTCTTTAAATCAGAAATGCTTTAAGAGTTCAATGAAATATAATTCTGATCAAAGAAGTTCCTCAAGTATTCTTAGATGATAAAACAAATTATTTTTGAAAGCTAAGGCGATTTGCTATCCAGTATTTTTTCCCCTTTAATAGCACACGTTGCCCCTAATCAAATGGAAGAATCATGACAACTTGGCCGTTTATGAAAGTATTTTTACAAGATAAGACGTATTCTGTGAGTCATTTAAAGGATTGCAGAAAGGAGGTAAAAATGCTGCTTATGTCTCCAATTTTTTTTTTGATTACTTTAATCATCCTAGAATAACTTAATAATAAATAGTGGTTTAAATTAAAGACACTACAGTCACATATTTCTGTATAACTAAAAGCAACAGGAAACACATTTTTAAATGCCATTTTGTATATTCTGTACTGAAATACTTCTGGTAAGGACTGGCCATAAAAAGAAGTGGTAATCTTCACATTTATGAAGTTCAAGTTATGTATATACTTAAAATTTGTTTATTAGTAAAATGTTTGGTCTTCAACTATACTTCATCTCCAGCAAGCAGAGGCCGTAATTTGTTAATGGGAGCCTTGGTATTTTACAAAAGGTTTAACAAAAACTATTTATTCAATATTTCTGAAAATTAGGAATTTTTTAAATGATTTAAGTCTTTTTTTTTTTTTTTGACTGGCCAATTTCATTTCAATGACCTGGGTTGGATGTTGTTTTATTCAAGACAGTAGTTTATTCAGACAAGACCATAGGAAGAAAGAAAAGAAAGAAAGAAAATCATTTGTCCCACGTGAAAGCTTTTAAAACCACTTTGCCAGTTCATGTCACTATTTTAATATTGGAATGTGAACCAAAGAGTCTTTCTATATATCTTTTGTATTGCTACTGAATACAGCCAGATTTACATATGGAAGAGTGCTTGGTTGTTTTTTGTTTTGGCTTTAAAAACAAGCAAAAAGGAAAGCTTAAAACAAAACAAAACAAACACGATGTTCGTAGTGCTCTTCACATACACATTCCCTTTAAAATGTAGTTTTGAAAGTGGAGTAGAGGGGTTAGCTCCTCTACCTCCTTGTGTCCCCGTCGGGCCCATCCCATCCCTCTCCAGCCAACACAGTGGCTGTTGTTGTGAGTAAGTGTGTCATACTGGCTCCATCTGCACGTGAACTCTGTGCTCATTTTTTGCAAGATCCATTTCCAGAAAGTCTTCAGGAATGTCCTGTAAAGTCTTCCCACGATGGCTCACTACCTTTGTTTCACCTGAATGATGACGCTGGCACAGTCCCATCTTACACGGTCTCACCAGGGCGAGGCACACAGCAGCCAGGGCCATGCCAGCTGCACAGGAGTAGAAGGCTCTGCTATAGATCTTACTTTGGTCCACCAACAAACCTGGAAGAGAGCATGGCGTCCGTTAACAGCAGCCTTCCTAGACATGAGCCCTCTCACCCAGGCGACCCTCACATTCAGAAGCCTCTCAGTTTCATTGCCTTCCTTGTTTTCTTTTGTGTTTCTAAAGAAAAATGGGTGTTAAAGGCAGACATCTTTGCTAGATTGGAGAGGAGAAAGAGACAAACACACAATATACTTGTTCTTCTTGGGCTAAGTCTGTCCTAGCAGAGGATCTAAAACCTGGGACATTTAGGTGTATACTTCTTTGAAAAGGTAATATTCTTCGGTAGGAAGGAACTGTATTATTTTCACTTGAGTTCACTTTAGGTTTTTTTTTTTTTTTTTTTTTTTTTTTTTAGTTTTATTCTTGTCGCCCCAGCTGGAGTGCAGTGACGCGATCTCGGGTCACTGCAACCTCCGCCTCCCAGGTTCAAGCGATTCTTCCGCCTCAGCCTCCTGAATAGCTGGGATTACAGGTGCCTGCCACC